TTGGGGGATCTCAACATCTAACAGGGAACCACTTAGAGTCGGTTTGTTGTCTAACGCTATCGGTATTCTCCCGTGTGTTTCCCTACTCCCTTCTCTCAATGTCGACTTTGACTCCTGCGCCGAGCTGTCTCCTTGGTAAGGCATTGTTTGGGACCTGGATACAACATGCTTATGCCTTGGTGCTCTTCGTGTGCCGACAGTGTTACTCCTCTCCACTTTCGAGTCATATTGAGATTGGGATGCTAAATCCGCCGGCTGTTCAGGTAATTCAGGTAAGGGCGTGCCTTTCTGCTCGTTCGCCTTCGAGTGCGAATGATCCGACGACTTCTTTCCAAACATACCGAACAACCTCCATTTCCCTGACTGCTTCCTGCGCAGAGCTTTTTCTGGGGAATCAGCAGTGCTAACACCAGATGTGTGTGAAACCAGAGACACAGTTGACCCTTGCCAGGTCTTGGCCATAGCTTGCGGTGTTTGCAAGCTCCCGTTCGCCGGCTTCATCGTAGGACTCCCGAGTGCCATGCCAATTTCCGTAGGATAAACCTCGTTAATGGATTCGGGAGTAGGCATCCTGATAGTTGGAATATATATATTTTGTGGAGGTGATGTCCGCGGGCTAGACTCTGGAGTAGGTAGTGGCCTTTGTGTAAAACCATACACCCTAAATTCCGCTCCAGCACCTGCTCTATGATTGATAAAAGAGTCGTCCCTAGAGACTCTCTTATCATACTTAAAGCTGTTAGCTGAACTCTTCGAACTCGGGCCCCCAGAGGAGCTCGGTCTCAGTGACATATTGACTTCGGGTAGCGCCGTAGCAAGCAGAAGACGATAACATAAACTCGTGGTTGCAAAAAGGTCCGGGTAACGCGTACTGCTATCATTATAAGAGAGTTATGGTAAGGCGGGATCTGATACACAACCCAGTCTTCTTAGGACGGGGTAGCCGGGGACGTGCGTCACGAACGCATCCGGGCTTGCATGACCCCCATCGGCGGTGGTAGTCTGGCAACGGCACTAGCCAGGTTACATAGGCGAAAACTACGATCCCTGAGTGATTTACCTAGGCTCCTTAAACTTTAAGGATATAAGATTTGAATACTGAGAGACTAATAAAAAGTACTGATTTGTGACTATTGCATAGACAGAGTTTCTAAAAACGGACTCAAGGAACTCTTAAAAGAGTCGACGTTTGAGTCGTCCGCCGTTTGAACGGAGGGTATGAGGAAACAAGGTGCGAGTTTCTTATGGCCACTAGCAGCTGATCCTCTCGGACTCTGGGGGGGAATTGATGTTATTTCCCGACATAGTACCTATTCGCATTATGGGCGGCATACTACACACCACAAAATCATCGGTTATGACACCTATAGCGGTCTGGGGAATTCCATATCTCCTAGATAATGCTAGAATATCGATGCTATTGGTAGCTGTTTGAAGTTAATGGATCATGGGACGGTTATTTTGAAGAGGGTGATCAACGCCTAGGATTCAGCTCCAGAATGCATTATGGACGGCGTCAAGGGTGACCCTTGTCTTCTTCCTGGGTATTTTGCTGGTGACCGGGGTGTTTTTGGAATGACGCGAATGGATCCTAAGGGGAAAGGGTAGAATTGGCGATGGTGTCGTGTATCAAACGCCAGCACTAGCATTGACGAGATCTTAAGCCCAGTAAGCTCATTCGTAGCCGAACTACTTAGCCTAGGAGAGCTGATACAGCGCTGTCATAATAGGCAGTTGTGCTAGACAGGTATTCAACCGCAGCGTCTATCAGAAGGGTTCGAGAAGTTTTTGGATAGTTACGGGGTTGTATTGTTTTCGGTGCGTACGTATTACCAAGGAATATTCTGAGGCAAGGTTCCCTTGGCAAATTAGCCCCCGTTTTCACCCAATGGCTCGATAGACAAGGAGAATCGACAGAGTCTCGAACGAGTTAAAAGCTCGGAGCTCTAAGCTGATTAAAGTATGCGGTGTAATTCTTGTGGATGAGCAGATACGGCGACGAATGGCCAAGACCAGGAAATGAAAAGGAGGCTCCTTTCATCGTACTTGCAGCGGTACATTGGAACCAAGACTGCATATTCCATATTACCTACTACGTCGTACTTCTCCGATCTGATAGGACGAAAAGAATGTTCGACCAGCAGGGAATCTTGGTCCAACTTTCAACTTGCCAGATCCCCTTTACTTGCATCTTCCAATGGAACTGTTCTTCTGCAATGGAACAAACCCCGGAATTTTTTGCTCATTTAAGAAAAAGTTCCAATTAGAACCATCTCACTTCTAAGAATGTTCGAGCGTGTCGGTTGTTGTAAAATGAGCGATTACCAGCGAGACCACATTCATATTAGACAGTTGTGAACACTAGTTGAACAACGTGTCACAACTTGAAGTCGGTGTTCGATAATTTGACACCATGTCCTCGATATTCTTTAGCAAGGTTGGCTAAATAATTAGTCCCTGAAGTTCACTCGTTTTCCCTTTGAGCAATTTGCGCCGTTGCGGACAACTTGTCTACCTAGGCTCTAAGCTAAATATCGTTAGGTTAGAAAAGGGGTCTACAATCTACATACAGTTCCTTGCTAGTTTCATAAGACCTAAAAAGGTAAACCCCGGTCTTTGAAACATGGAAGCTGCAAACTATGTACATGTATCCCAGAACTGCCAGAGTCCGCCTTTTGTCTGTGCTGCTATGCACAACCCATCCCGCCTGCCTTACAGAACTGACGGACCTGGGGTAATCCTTCCCATCGTGTCACGTCGCACGGTAACTTCGCCGGAGATTTTATCTTCAGCGCTGCAACTTAGGTACTGCAACTAAGCCTTGTACGTAGTTATGACCTCACACACTTAAGGCTACGCTAAGGTCGGACTCTAAAAAAATAAAGTATTATCTCGAAACGCGCGGTGGTTTCTTCTGAGGGGAGATCGAAGTCGATCTTGAGAGTTACATCGAGCTATGTTTATTTCTATAAGAGGTAGTGTTTGCGATCCTCTCTGTTAGTGCGGCATAGAGATAATCCTAGGCGACCTGGCTTAGATCATTAGCGATCGACGTAGTTGATCGACCGAGACGATCTAAGCCGTATCACTGTCCGTTCGAATGCTTAAATGGTCGACGTGGCTATACAGGGTTAAACTCGGTATCAAGGTTCCTTCGGGGGCGGAACGGAGGTTGCGGCCATCGGGCTACTTAAGCCTATGAGGATGGCAAATCCGGTTGTCCTAAGCTGATGAAGAGATAGCCCACAAGTGATTAAAAATACCATACGTAGTAGCACACGTGCTGTTGACAGAGACTCCTTGAGAGTTTATGACTCGCATACGAATACGTGTCAACGGCTTTAACTCGACATGAATGCTAAATCAGTAATCACTATCTATATGTATGCTTGTTCTACATTCACACCCATCACTGACGGTAAACTCTATCCAGAGCCTTACCGGATGGGCCTGAAGCTTGTGAGACTCGAAACTTCATGTCCAACACTTTTCTTTAGTATGACATAATTCTCCATGTAAAGCGTATATAGTATACATAGGTCCTGTCACTATCCATCCTAAACCAGAGACGAGATGGCCTCCGTTGCGAGCAGTAAATACTTAAACTCCATATATCTTTAACAGCACTGAAATATTGAGCTCGTGGTGCTATGTGCTAATACCTAGGGATAAGATTGAAGCAGATCAACGAAGTCTACTAATTTATAGCCTATAACCTCAAAGCCAACTCGTTGTATAATTATCTTATAAGACATTGTGTTATGATGAGGTATTAATGGGGTAGCTACGGTAAATGTTTCGAGCCAGATGGAGAAAGTATACTTAGTTGGGTATATCATATGCTACGGCTACAAGGAGTCCCTTAGTGTAGTCATCCTCCTGAACTTACCTTGATTTGACGATACGTACATATTACACAAAAGAGGGGAGATTTCCTGTGATATAAGATATATAACATAACAATGACGCTATTCCTACCGTCTTCTATTAAAAGACACAAAGTTTACGGCCGCGGGTACCAAATGGGTAACGAAGGCGGTGAATAACATGTTGAGGGAATGGGTCTAACAGAGGGTGTCGGATCGTCTTCATGCGCCAAACTAACTGGCAGGGGATACACCGCTGGCGTTTAGAACCAATATATAGGAGGGATAGTGGGTTCGAAGAGGATATTAGAAATCGCGCCTTTTTTGGACTGGAGACAATATTTTCCACTCGGCCGACAAAACTTTGTCGAGATGAACATGTCGGTGTATATTATATTGTATGTAATGTAGAGGCGATTTCATGATTGGGGATCCATGGAAAGATGGCAATAGTCAGACTGACGGTGAGACGATGAGCCGTCTCATATAGATAGATGGTTTGACAAGATCTCGATTACATGAACATGCGCTATTTATCTTGCATAAATGTTTTTGTTTCGTGTAATACGCGATCATGAAAAGAATCGAGTTTGTAATGTATAATGTCACGGTAGGAATTACACTTTTGCTAAGTATGTACCTTATCGAGGACCTCGGTTCTCTTTCCAATTGGGACCGACGTACGATGGCGGGGTTCTGGGTTATCTTTATCAGCTGGCAAGCTAGAGAGCGTTGAGCTTCAAAGATGAGCTGTTATCGATGTTGCGTGTGGCTTGACAAATTGCGAATTGTTAGGTGGAATTTTATTAGGCCAAAGGGGCGGGGAGGAATGGGACCTGAAAAAGACCTGCCACTCAGCCAGTTAACCAGTGAGCCAGTTAGCGCACCGCCCCAGCGCAAATACAAGCAAGGGTGGGTTGACACCTGGGCAATGGGCAATGGGCTGGCAGTGGGTTGGCGGGCAGCAGCAATCAAATGGTAGGATAATCCAACCCCGAAAAAAAAACAGCCCCTCATTCATCAGACCGCGCATCCCTATTCTTTTTTCCCCTTTGACATCTGAAGCTTTAGACTTGGACTGAATCTTCCCTACCTAAACACGCCAACTTCGCCATAATTCATCCTTTCTCTCTTCCTCCTACTCCTTTTGCTTTTCCAGCCCATCTGCACACCCAGACAGACAAATAACAAAAGTCTAGCAACCATGTCGTGGCAAGGTAAACAAATCCCCCCTCCTTCCGTTCCCTACCTTTCAACCCCACCTTTGTTAGGGGACAGGGCTGATTCTTCGTCATAGCCTATGTTGACTCCAGGTAATTATCATCACCCGCGATCCCGGCAGCGTCGTAGCTACACGCGATCATGTACTAACCACTCCTTCGTAACGATAGCCTGGTCGGCAGCGGCCATATCGACAAGGCTGCTATCATTAGTGTTGCGGGTGACAGCGTTTGGGCCACTTCGAGCGGATTTACGGTATTTTTATTACCCCTGTCTTTTTCATCCCTCCTCGCCTAGTCGCAAACTAGATTGTTCATAGATAAGAGAGGAGCTTGGCTAATATAAGTCTTGCAATCATAGATTAAGCCTGAGGAAATGAAGACCATCGCCAACATCGTAACCCAAAGTGCTGGTGCCGTCGAGAAGGCCCAAGCAGATGGTATCTACGTTGCGGGCGAGCGATACGTTGCCTTCCGGATTGAGGATCGGAGTGTCTACGGACGACAGGTGCGTTAACAGGAAATAATTTCTCCCCCCGTCTTATGGGCGATCCAGAAGTTGTTGACTAAATTATAAAACCGCATAGGGCCGAACGGGTATCGTCATTGTCAAGACAAAGCAGGCTATTATAGTTGGCCACTACGGCGAGGCCCACATAGCTGGCAACTCGACCCAGACTGTCGAGGCGTTGGCCGACTATCTCATCAAGGCCGGATACTAGAGCGGGCGTGGATCGAGGAGTGGTAGATGTCGTGTGAGAGTGGATGCCCCAGACCGACTGGGAGCATGCTTTGGGACTGCAGAGCGAGAGAGAGCTTAGCAAATTTTCTGTTGATGACATACTCGATGGGCGGCTCAGGCTGTTTCGTCGCTTCGAGACAATCACCCCCCGGGCCGTTCCCCCCTAGATTCTGCATAGGCACGAATGACAATGGCCTTTTTCTTTTCACATGTAGAAAGGTTATACAACGCTTTCTGCTCGTGGCAAATTATTTTTTTCACAACCTTGCAGGCTTATTATATCTTCTAATCTGCTTCTGGGTATCCCCGAACCTAGTTTGGCACTCCCCCAAATCCTCTATACTGTCATATACACAATATCATACAGAACCTCCCATTTCCGTCTTAACGCCTTTTCATGTGATCCGAAAATGTCATGGCGCTTAAAATCGTAATTAGACTACCCCCGGTGGCGTGAAATAAGGAGGTAAGTGTATTATCCGGTCCGTAATTAGGGGTAAGTAAAAAGGGGCTTGCCCCTTTCAAACGGGCAACTCGGCATTCCGTAGGCCTCCAAAGCCCGGGATACGGTCGATGACAAGGCCAATATAAGGACCGACAATTGGGGCGTTTCGTGCAAAACTCGCGATCGTACCGAGGAAGTCTCCGAATAGTACCACGATGCCGTATAATTCAACGCAGAACCCAATTAGCGCCCATCGCATGAGGATTAACGTTAATCCTAAGAAAAAGGCCGCGGTGCCCTTGGCCTTCTGCTTCCGCGCGAAGAAGAGCAGTGTCTTCTGTGGACCGATAATAATCGTTAAGCCGATTAGGAAGAGGATCTAGAATCGTTAGAGGCGACCGGTAGTTGGGTACTCGAGTACGGGGCTCGGAAGGGGGAGTAAAAGCTATGGTTAAGGAAAAAAGAGGCGTACATTGCCCATCGCAAGCCTGTGTATTCGCGTATTAGTATACTTGATATGTAGATCGTACGAAGAAGGATATCTATATATGCGCAAGGCCGGCACGTGGACACTTACATGGCTCGATCAAAGAACAACATGACACCTCCAATCAGGAAGAAGCCACCTGTAGGAACACATAGACCACATTAGCTGCTGAAGAAAACATAGCCATACACTCGCGCATGTAAACGTAGGTACCTTGGAAGGCATACAGACACGCGGGCGCAAGAGCAAGAGCAAGAGCAAGAGCAAGCTAGATTACCACGTACCGCCAGAGCAGAAGGCGACCCCGATTTCTGTGCGCAGCCTCAATGGTTAGTGCATGTAGTCAAATAGGTATATATATTGTATTCAACATAACACTTAAGGGCTTCTAGGTCCGGTCTTACTTTGGGCGTCTGATAACCACATGGTGGGCATCTTGGAGTCGGCCGTCTACCTAAAGGCGTGACGTATATATGTAGGTAGGTAGGTAGGTAGGTATAAATGGAGAAAGGGAGCTCCGTAAGCTTCAAGCTCTTTACCTAGCAGCGGACTTGTTCGAGTTCGATTGAGGGAACGTAGGTGTAATTGGTATACCGAAGTTTCGGACCCTTTAATATCGTATCGTGAGTTTTCTACTTCGTAAGGGAATAATTTATTTAGTTTAGGTAAAGCTATGTACATTGGATGCATCTAGGGACGGCGGACGGGACACGAATCGCGGAATTGAAACAGGACCCCTGGCATAGCAGCCGTAGAATGTATCTGGCAGTTGACTAGCAGCTGTCAATGGGAGTATCCTAATTTAAAATCGATAAGAGAATTTTGGTTCTCTTCTGTCTTTTACAAAAGTTACATATTTCTACCAATTCTCCCCGGGGTAGCTATGATAATACTCCAGCATACCGTCAATTCGGCATGAATAATGAATACAATTCTAGCACATTTACCACACCTTGTTAGCTTGCCACATCCCGGCTCGTTGTAGGTGTAATTATTCAGTCATTCAAAGCTGTATAAGCAGAGTTCAATAAGCGTATTCATGGTAAGAACAAATGGTAAGAAATCAAGCTGATCGCAAATATGCCTTTTGTCAATTAAGCACTGGCAGATTAGCATCTGAAAAGTCCTTGCTGAATAGATCATCACTACGGTATCCTAGGTAAATATGATATCCTGCCGCGGCGTCTTTAGCTCACAAGCTATGGTCACTGAGATTGATTCTCCTCCATTCGATCTCGGTACCCGTCAGTCACAGGCGGAGAACAAAATCTCATTTTCCCGATCACGATTAAGCCGGAGCGTAACCTGCCATCCGTCGCCGAGAGGTGACTGATGCATAGGATAGGCTTGACTTTGTTGGCCGGACATTTCTATATTGTAATTACCACCTCTTACTTGGTGACCTCTGTCGTAAAGTAAATCTTTCTATGCCTTAAAGGCCCCTCTTATTGAACCTCATGTAAGAAGCCGGCCGTTCGGATGCATCAATGGCCAGAATAGATATAGAAAAGCCAAAGTGACACCATTGCTGCACTGTTTAGTAGAATGTCTCGTACACCTCTCATATTGACTATTCCCTTTCATTTCAGAATTGTATGTGCGCCTCTTGCTTCTAGATACTGCTCCGCTGCGCTCTGAGGCAGAGTGCGAATGAAGCCGAACACCTCCTTGCTGTGATACCGTAATCGGCTCTTTGGGTCGAGGTAAGGGGCAGGAAGACCGGTGATATCGCAGTATCGTTTCGTGTGCGCGAGCGAAGGGGCTGATTCAATGTTTGTGTAAGTCGCGCTCGGCGCGGCCGAGACGGGTGCACCACCAGCGCCATTAGGTCGTAGGCTCTTCTCTAGTACAAGTTTCGATAAACTCCGCGAAGCTTGAGCGAGGTTCGGTTGCAGGTTCGAGTTGTTGCCACCAGCCGCCTGCTGAGCGGGCGTCGAAGAACCGCTGGTAGAAAGGCCGTCACCATCTCCCTGTGCGGGAGTGACGGTGCCGCTGTTGTCTTGGGGCGTGACGATCACAGAGGCTTCCTTGCGCGAGGCATCACCTATGATGGTCTTGATGTTCTTGTTGCGTCGCTGGTTTGGTCGCCAGTGAGGGTTGCGGAAGCTCTTATGGATGGAATGGATATCAAGCTTGTCGATCAGCTCTTGATGGGCAATCTGGGCTTCTGTGGGAGCGGCCATTGTTGGTTTGATGTTCGTGCAGATAGGTGTTTGATAAGGAGGTGTCGCGAATAAGAGGTGCGAAGGATGGAATACGATGGGTCGTTCGATAACTCCGGTGACGTTTTTAAGATTCGATGTTGTTGCTTGCTGAGTCCTGGTTTTGTGGATTAAGTTCTTGAAGATGATGGTCGTACCTACCAACCCCAAGGCTGCTTCTTAAAACGGACTTTGAGGCGCCTGGGTTACATAGTACATAGGTACCTAATTTTAGTGCAGTCCCATCGCACCGTCGTCACTTAGGTATGTACTTCGTATCCATCCCATTTACACTTCACTAACAAACAAACAATTCATTCAACACTATCCAACTTTCACTTTGATGCAAGCCAAAACCCAAGGTTGAATAAAATGGTATTATGCTTATTGCCCAGCCAGATAAATCACGAAAGATTCTAATAGAAAAATATAGGAGAGCCCTCACGAGCATCAGCAGAACCTTCTGCTATCACGTATCATCACCAACGTTGTAAGTGGCATGGCCCAGGAGCACCGCCCCTGATTGACAAGCCCAAACGACTTATACAACGCCTATAGGAGAAACTCAACGAGTCCATCGTCGTCATGAACAAGAGCCTTCAGGAGATCAACATCCAGAACATGAACATTGAGCTCGTCGCTCAAATGTTTAAGAACTACCAGTCCAACGTGCTCTTTCATCTGGAAGGTAAGTTATATCCCAACTAATTGCATGTTGAAGCTGATTCTAAATTCTAAACTATGGTGTAGCTACGGACAATCTGAAAGAACCTTCATGAGATAGCCTCTCTTCGAGTAGCTATGAGGATAATGAGAGCAAAGCTATCTAGCAGATAGTAGAGGAATGTTTTTAGCGGGTTATATGGATATACTACTATGAACTCAAGCAAGATATCTGTATTAGGAAGCTTTCTATCTACTTATAGGGAGACTCAATGCTATACTCATAAACTGACTATAGAGCCTGGAACTCTTAATAATAAAAGCCCTCATAGCATATTACTCTACGAAGCCCGCACAATAAAAAGCACTCCTAAAGAACAATGGTGAAGACATCCGTAACCTGGGTAAATTCCCCTACGCAAATAAAAACGCGAGTATTCGTGAAGACGCGATATTCATACGTAAGAGTTACAACAGCCTTATGTATTAGTGAGCCCCACCAATTCTTATCGAGCATCTTATCGAATGGACTACCGAGGAGTAGCTGAGCTTTAGCTGCACGGTACCTAAGGTACGAACCTCCGATCGAAGCAAGGGCAGCTGTTTGGCGGTATCTTTACTTGTCAGCCTCGTACCTTCGGACAAGAGAATCTAGGTACATACAACAATTTTACAATTCATTCACCTTTTCGTACCGCAAATTAGATAAAACGCACATCTTCCAAATTCCTCCAATTAATTGAACTATATTCATCATTCTAATCCTATAGGCAAAACCCCCCAATCCAAAAGACTATCTTCGATACGCGATCATCCACAATAACTTTAACATGCGATACGCTGGCTCTCTATAAATACCAAAGCTGCGTACTCCAATAACATGGCGCCGTCAGCGATCAACCTTCCGGCGCTTCCTGTGCGACAGGAAAAGACTTATCCCCCGGCTCGAATTTACAATGTAAAGGAAACCAAGTTCGAGAAGCCTACTTCTCCCCAACCAGATGGTCGCGAGGAGGCTTTAGGAAAACCTCCTGGCAGCGTAGCCATCGTCATCGACAATGGTGCGCCTTCAAAAATATCCTTTATACTATCAATCTGCTAATATGGACTTGTCGTTATAGGCTCATCCGCCGTCAGAGCTGGGTGGTCGTTCGAGTCGAAGCCGAGATTCAGTATCCCACCTATCATGGCCAAGTATAGAGATAGAAAGCTGGGCAAGACCTATTCGTTCGCTGGCTACGATTGTTACTCCGACACGACCGCTCGAGGGCATATCAGAAACGCTTTTGAAGCTGGAACTGGCATCGTCAGCAACTGGGATGTAGAAGAACACGTACTCGACTGGACCTTTCTAAAGCTGGGCATGAACAACGCCGACGGAGCTGTCGACCTACCCATTGTCATGACTGAGGCAGTAGCAAATTTGCCCTATTCGCGAAAATGTGTGTACCCCCAAATTTGTTCTAGTTTGTAACCGACTAACATAGCATAGCTATGAACGAAATCATATTTGAATGTTACCAGGCCCCTTCACTAGCCACGGGCATCGACTCTCTCTTTTCCTATCGCTACAATAAGGGACAGACGGGATTGGTTGTCTCTTCCTCTTATAGCTCTACGCATGTCATTCCCGTTTTCGACTCGAAAGCCATGCTAGCTCAGGCTATACGACTCAATTGGGGAGGATGGCACGCCGCGGAATACTTACTCAAACTCATTCGTCTTAAATACCCGTCATTCCCAGGGAAGCTCAACGCATCACAGACTGAGCATATGATAAGGGATCACTGTTATATATCTAAATCATATGACGACGAACTACGGTCGTACCTAGATTGGACAGGATTAGAAGACCGGGATATTGTGATCCAGTACCCGTTTACAGAAGAGGTGATAGTCCAGAAGAGTGAGGAAGAGCTCGCTCGGATAGCTGAGCGAAAGAAAGAGAGCGGGCGACGGTTGCAGGAACAAGCAGCTAAAATGCGCCTAGAGAAACTAATGCAAAAGGAGCAGGAACTAGAATATTACAAGAAGCTACAGGAGAAGATTAATGATTCAAATAAGAAGGATACAAAACGCCTTCTTGATGCAGAAGATATGAAAGATGAGCAACAACTTGAACGCACTATCAAGGAATTAGACAAGTCGGTCAAGCGCGCCCGGACGAAGGATGTGGGTGGCGATCCTGAGGAAGAGCAGGAAGCACCTGACTTCAGCCTTCTCGAAGTACCCGATGACCAGCTTGACGAAGCTGGTCTAAAGGCGAAACGACACCAGCGACTTCTGAAATCTAATCACGAAGCACGAGCGCGTGCTAAAGCCGAGAAGGAAGCCGAAAAGGCGCGCGTTGTAGAGGAAGAGCGGGCAGACAGAGAACGCCGCGAGAACGATCTAGAGGGATGGCTAGAAGAGAAACGCGTGGCCCGAAATCTTACGTTGCAGAAGATGAAGGAGCGGGATCGCCTAAAGGCTGACCTGGGAAACCGCAAATCCTTAGCTTCTCAAATCCGTATGAAGTCAATTGCAAATCTAGCTTCAGACAATCCTCGAGGGAAGCGCCGACGCGGTAACGACGACGATAACTTCGGCGCGAACGATGACGACTGGGGCGTGTACAGGCAAATTCAGGTGGGCGAAGGCGGTAGTGATGACGAAGAGGGTGAAGAGGATCTTGAAGGAACTCTTAAGACGCTCGAAGAAGACCTGCTTCGCTACGATGAGGGATTCACACATGAACACACGTGGGAAGCGCAGAACGATTGGAACAAAAGTCTTCTGCACGCGTTTATGCGCGGACCGCGACCTTTCAATCCTTCCTCCCAGGCAGAAATCCACCAGATACATCTCAACGTCGAGCGTATACGAGTACCGGAGGTTGTCTTCCAGCCCTCCATCGCTGGGGTCGACCAGGCGGGGCTTGTCGAGATCGCGGGCGATATACTTACACAACGACTCGGGGGTATACCAGGTCTAAATCGCAATGACTTCCTAAATGACATCTTCTTAACTGGTGGTAACACGCTCTTCGAGGGCTTTGACGACCGTCTCCGCCAGGGCTTAACCCCGTTGCTCCCCATAAACTCGCCGCTTAAGATTCGTCGCGCCGGCGACGCAATACTTGACGCTTGGAAGGGTGCCGCTCAATGGGTCGGAACACCCAGCTGGAAATCGTCTTTAGTGACCAAGGCAGAGTATGAGGAGAAGGGGCATGATTACATAAAGGTATGTTTTGATTATCCTCTTTTCTTGTCACGACTTTTACTCCTTGTACTATGACAGCTGTCATATGTATACTTTACACAATGCTGTATGAAGTAAAGCAATGATCTATGCTATGTCGTCAGAAGTGCTTTACCTGTTCTACGTCGATAGCACAAGTCGGGAATACGATCAGCAGACAGCTCTTAGCCACGAGTGTGGATCTAAATAACCAACACCACCCCATCCCATCCCATCAGCGATCATCCCTACGAAGATGTGTATACAATTATCCCGTTCAGCTGATATAATACCATACGCTAACCCGTTTCCGCTTTGTCACAAATTTATAGGAGCACGATATGGGCAACTCTTACTCTTGAGAGCTTAGCCGTCGTTACACAAGCACGGCGCTCTTTACTGCAATCGACCTAGACGCGCCCAAGGTAACCCTCCATTCCCCTATTAGTTTTCGGAGCGTGCAACACAACGCGGCACGTGGCTATATCACGGCGGTAACGAAATGCTTACTCATTTTATCTACTTTGCCTCCTTTTCTACAATGTCACAGGAGATACGTAAGTACTTGGATGAAGTGAGAGGCATGTATGTATGTATAATATTATCGGACTCAATAGCAGGCGATGATACTAGGTTGGTTAGTTATTCCTACCTAGGTAGTTAGGTGTCACAACTAGGACCGGGAAGACGGAGAGGATGAGGATTGATGATGGGCAGATCCCGTAATCACTTGCGGTCTTGGCACTTCGCAGCATTAGCTACCTACCTACCTACCTATGCCATATTACCTACCATATGCCCTCTTCCTTCGGGCTTGCACTTACGCTTTGTACCATGCGAACGGACAAGGATGGGATACCTTAGGTGCCTAACCTACCTAATCTTACCTTACTTATTCTCCCTACCTCACTAAGGTTCCCACCTATACAGAGCAAACAGCTACAACAGATAGATACTACGTTAGCAAGCACGTCCGCGGATGGATGACGACGACGACGATGGACAGGACAGGACAGGGCAGGACGGGGTACGATAGGATAGGGTAATAAAATGCTAAGCATAAATCATAAGTACGGTACATGGGCGCAACGCCAAAGAAAAATGAGAAGAAAAAAAACATGCAACCAGCGCCCCGCGCCGGGGAGTACTATGCGATCGATTATACTACTATGTATAGTTCTTCATCTCGCGTGCCCCTCCATTCTCCATTCCAATTCGCAGAGCTAAAGTTAGGTAGGTACCTACCTACCTACCTAACCCAGGTAAAGTACTATAGTTCGTAGCTCGCTTCGGAACGGAGGTAGTGAGGCTTAATACGACACATCAATAACTAATATGTAGCGTGGTTGTGTTTGCGAAGCGGTCAGGATTAGGTAGTTCCATCCGTCTGCATGCAGAGTTTGGTTCGTGCTACTTAGGCTAGGTAGTAGATACCTAGATAGGCGTTTACGTCTGCGTCTACGTCTGCGTTTGCGGTTGGGGTTGGGGTAGGGGTTACACGAGAGGCGCAAAAGAAAAAGAAGAGCTTAAGTTGAGGAAGAGTGGAAAGGGGGGAATATATTCCTATCAAAGACACCACGAGATGAGATAAGATCTGTCAAAATGACCAGTAGAAGGCAATATTATTATTTCATCGGTAAGTAGCATGGTTAGCTTGCATCATAGCTCTCTAAGCGAACATGTCTCATTAATCGGGGGGATGAGACTATTCGTCGGATTCGCAGTGATTTGACTTGACTGAGAGGCCTCGCCTGCAAATGCTCTGTAATTAACGCCCATATCTCTTAGGTCTCGACCTTATGCTGTAGCGCCGGTCTTCTGCTCCAACAGGGCGGACCTTTCTCTTGCAGCTGGACACGTTCGATGCTTCGAACTCCACCTTCAGACCGAGACTTCCTATCGTCTCGCCTCTTGTATCCCTAAGCTAAGCTAAGCCAGGGATTCGATGATAACCATCTATAGCCATCACAAACCATCAACTGCGGACAACCGTCGCAAGTATGGCTATCGCAAACCAAGGTATGATGCTCTCGAACGCCTGATCCGACCAATTCTTCGAAACCATGCGAGTCCATAACGCCACGATATGACAAATAAGAAACGAGGTTGGGGATCGCAACCTCTTATTTTGCCTCCCTTAGCTCCGTAGTTCCCAACCACCCACCATCCTCCCACGGTGGCGCGTTTTGATCCCCATAAAATACGTGCTCGCTCCCTTTCTCATCGGATTCGGAAATATCCATATTTCCTTGGGAATTTCTTGGTTCGGGATAAATATACTGCTGATGGAAGTCTCCTGTATGTCGGCTTCCTTCGGGATCGGTATCCAGACCTCTCTCCTGAGATGACTAGGCCCGCAGGGATGAGGGGGCCGGTCCTCCCTCTTGTTGGAGCTGTCTGCGGATTTCCTCCGCTGTTTGCGAGTCCTCGGTAGACTCCGACTTATAAGCGGGTTTCGTATACAGACCATCCGCCGAAGGCTCCCTAGCTCTTAACCCGGCTACTGCTGCCGCAACGTCCGCCAGAGTTCCAGCATTGGTATTATTAGGACCGGGCTCAGGAGCCGTGGTCGCGTGCGCACCGCGAGCACTAGTGGAGGCCGTAGCAGGGGGGCCAATATTTACGTTGGGTGGTGGCTGGGGTAGTTCGACCTGCAAATCTAAGAGGCGAGACTGTAGTTGAATGACGTACTCGCGAAGAGCATAATTATCGTTTTGGATCGCTTTGAAGCTGTGCTCCATCTCTCCGTAATCGCGCACTTGCTGCTCGAGCTTCTTGATGTAATGCTCCTTTCTTTGTCTAAAAGCGCGCTAGAGAAACAGGTTAGTTACGTAATTGGACGCACGGATGAGTCCTGATATGGTGGAGCAGCCAAGCTAGTACACACGAGCGATCTACACCGAAGATGCGAGATACTCGGATCTCTAAACCGTTTTGATTACGGTAGCTCCAGCTCGCAGACCATGACAAAAAAAGAGAAGCGCCCCACTCACCTGAGCAGCTCTGTTCTGGGCGGCTCTTTTCGATTGCGATAATTCCCGCTTCGCCTTTCGCCCGTCCGTCACTGAATCATCAGGGTCATGCCCTAGGAGGCCTTGAGCAGCCATGTTGGCCACGGGAGACGCAGAAATAGGTGCGCCTTCGTCGGACGGAGGCGAGACTCCTCTCTGCATCATATCAGATGCCGGAACACCTGCAGAAGACGTTCTAAGTTGAGGGTGAATGTGCGACTGCGTCTCTAAACTGGAAGCGCCGTATCCATGCGATTGAGGTGAAGGGCGTATAGGCTTAAGAGCAGGGTGAGTTGCAGCGACAGCAGTTAATGAAGACGGCGCCGACGTAGGTGGTGAGTGGTTCAAATAACTCGCTCCCGGATCGATCTTTGCGCGCACTTCAGATTCCTCTATAAAAAAAGCAAAGAAATTATGTCAGTATGCAAATACCGGTAGAGGTCTGGGGTATATATTCAAAAATGGGGGAAAGAGACATAAAAGGTATCAGAGGTAGAGCCACGGAGCAAGTGAGGCGGACTACAGACCGAATATGTATGTAGGAAAGTTTGTCCAGGATGTAGGCGGGTATTTCGTAATGAAGGGATATGGGGACCGGAAAAGCAAGTGGATGGATCCCAAATTGGCCTTGCAACGCGACCCCGAAGCCGTCAAAAGTAGTAGCAACAGTAGCAGAAAACTCCTGGCGCCAGCATATGAGGTATGTCTGATTACATGTTCGCAGTAAAAGGTGACCTCAAGCGACTTAGACGGTCAGGGCATAGCTGGGGGGTGGTCGAGGGGGGGCGTGTAACTGTGCAGTAATGCGGCGTCACGGTGGGTGGGGTGAACATAGAAGTACGGGGGGGTGGGGGGTTTATTAATTTTTTTTTTCTTTTCGATGATGGTTGGAAATGCTTCTAGTGCAGCACCGGGCAAAAAAGAGCTAAGAGCTAAGAGCTAAAGAAGGAGCAGCTACTTACCGTGATTCTGCATTTTGAGTATCTGAGTCAGCATCAAGCTAACGCGATACTTGTGTCGTGACGAACTTGGTGCGACCGTATCTGTAATAACGAAATACGCGGAAACACACTGGTCTATGCCCAGAGACGGAACCGTTTCCGTTCAAAACGCACTATTAAAGAGAGGAGCGCGCGACGGGCTCCGCTCGGAGTAAGGACGGCGTTTGTCGTTGCAGGGGTGGAAAGTCAATTTGGACACCGGGATAGATACTATGTCTTGTCCCCAGGAGATGTTTCTTTTTTATCGCACACCAAAGTTAAAGGAACGATGTGGCTGGAGTGAAAATAGCGCGCGAAGCCGTTGTTTAGTTGCTGATTTGGCAAACGACTATACAGTTGCGGCAGCCGTAGCGTACTAGTATATAGTACTCCTCAACACATACAGGATGAATACGTAAGGTAGGTAGTGCTGTTGTCGTTGAGTTGTTGCGTATATCAATACTGCAATCCTGCAGCAGTACCTTGGAACCTTGGAACCTTGTGATCCGCGGTAGGGTCAATGTTTCGTAGATTGGTAGATTGATAGATTGATAGATTGGATGCGCCTGACGGAGTGGCTAACCGTGACTTGATTACTCAAGGTAGCAGTTAATGTCAATCAACAAGAAAACTTCGATATTTCGAAAGAGTATTCCAGGCGAGATTCGGATGAGTAACGAGGACAATACCTAGGCCAATGCGAGAGAGCCCCCGGGTTTCCTAATCGTATAGCCTGTCCAATCTGGCGTCGGCAGAATTCAAGGTGACCTCAACGGAGTTAGGGACCCAATGATACCCGCGCTTCCACGTGACTGATTCTGGTTCTATCGTAATGGATTATTCAGCGCCGTTAAAATAGATTAGGTAACGGCGTGGTTGGGTTTTTAGGCATAGGTAAATCTTGTCCCGGATGACGAACGCGTAGTGTACTAATGGTAAGAGAAATATGCAAAAACAAATACCTCGAGGAAAATTTAGGAACAAGGCGCAAAGTAGTTAGCTTTTTGCTTCGGGACCGTGGCTTGTGCGAAGATGCTTGGATAACTGAATGAGTACCACGCACAGTGTCCAGAAGTTAAAAAATGGATACGCCGCCAACAAAGAGAAATAGGTAGGTAAACAGGCAATATAGGTGGGGTATTAAAAGTTATTAAGCTGCCTGTTGGCGGTTCAATTGCCTACAGTATGTGGACGGCCGAAATGTCCGAAGGGGGGGATAAGACCTGACGAGGGTTGATCATAGACTTGTTTAAGGTGAGGTTGGTTTGTCAGCACTTTGCAGCTTGTGCAGCTTGTGTTCGCCCTAAATGTGCAACCGGTACGTAACTACCAAGACTAGTGTGTACATAAGGTAGTGTACTT